ATCTCATGGTTCATGAGTTCGAGCCCAGCACGGGCTCTCTGCTTTCAGCACAGAGCCTGCTTTTAGCTCTTCTGATCCCCTCTCCCTCTGCCCCTCCCCGCGGATGCGCGATTTCTCTCTCGGTCAAAAATAAACAGTAAAAAAACAAAGAAGTCACCCCTTGCGTGCCCTTGGCCTCGATTCCAGCTCTGCCCACCCCCATGCCTGGCCAGGCAACCGCTGGGAGTGCCTTCTGCAACCTTGCTTACATACTCATCCATAGAAGTGCACTGTGGGCTTCTGGGATGTGCTTTAGTGGCAGGGGAGCCGCGACCTAGGCAGACCTCGGTTCTAACCCAAGCCCTAGCACTTAGTGGGATCAGACACCGTGGCCTTGGGTAAGGTGCCCAGGCCCATGAGCCTCAGTCTTGGCAGCTGTAAACTGGGCTTGGATTCCCTGCCTCTTAGAAGGACCGTGTGGACGGAATGAGTTTGTGTGTGAAAGTCTCTGTGATATGGTGATTTCTTTTTTTAAAATTTATTGCTTTGGAGAGAGAGAGGGCACACACGAGTGGGGGAGGGGCAGAGAGAGAGAGAGGGGGGGAGAGAATCCCAAGCTGTCAGCACAGGGCCCCATGTGGGCCTTGAACTCAGGAACTGTGAGATCGTGACCTGAGCTGAAATCCAGAGTCGGACGCTTAACCGACTGAGCCACCCAGGTGCCCCTGTTATATTGTGATTTCTAATAAGAAACATATTTTTGGTTTTCAACCCCATTCTGGGCATAGAGCTTCTAAAATCCTTGGACTCTCTTAAGTGATCAGAGTGATAAAGGTATCTTTTGTTAATAAGGTGACTTTTGGAATGTCCCTACATCACCTGAAAACGGAGTGGGGGCAGGGGGGAGGGGAGGGCTGGTTGTCAGTGGCACCGGCTGTGTGACTGGGGGGGAAGGAAAGGGGCTGGAGATTTGAGTTTGATCACCGATGGCCAATGATTTAATGAATTGATTCACTTAATTAATTTAATTAACTGCACAGGGTTCAGCTTCCAGGTGAGTGAACACGTGGAGCAGCGAGGACACCGGTGCCCCTAGAGAGGGTGTGGAAGCCCCGTACCCTTTCCCCAGACCTTATCTGGTGCCCCCCTTCCATCTGGCTGTTCCTCTGTTAATCCTTTTGTGGTAAACTGGGGATCTAGTCCTGTGAGCCCCTCTGGCCAATTAATTGAGCCCATGGAGGCGGTCTTGGGGACCTCCGGTCTATAGCCACTAGGTCACAAGCACAGATGACAGCCGGGACTTGCAGGGGGCGTGTGAAGGTGGGGGAGGGGCACCCTTGCAGGACCGAGCCCCTCACCTGCGGGATCTGATGCCGTCTCTGGGTAGGCAGTGTCGGAACAGAATGAGGTTGTAGTCAGTCGCCCATCTGGTGTCAGAGACTCGTTTGCTGGGGCGGGGGAAACGTGTACCTGGGAGTCAAGGGCGGAATTCTGGGCTCCTGGCACATCCTTTCAACCCCACAACCACAAAAATCTTGGCTTTTAATTCAGGGTAGGACAAGGAAGGGGAGTGTGCCCTCAAGAGTCTCTCAAATGTCCCATGAAAGGTGAGTCGTGTGTGTGTGTGTGTGTGTCAATGGTAACAGTGACAAGAGTCCTGGATGAGTCTTCCCATTGTCCAGGTGAACTCACTGGAGCCTCACAGGAACCCCGGAAGTGGGGCTGGAGGATTATGAGGACAAGCAGCACCGACTGGGCTCAGTGTCCCTCACTCCCCTGTGACCGCTGCCTCCCTGCCTCTCTCCCTGGAGCTGCTTGCTGTGCCGGGATGGAACTTTCACTGCATTTGGCAAACTGTGCTCCCCCGGGGGCAGGCGTGGGAGGAGGGAAGAGATCCCGGAATCCAGGAATTTCAGGGTCGGAGTGTTCCCCAAGGCTCCCTCTCCCCAGTGATTGACTGTCAGCACCTGAGCAAGGGCTCCCCGAGATGCCTTTCGGGCTGTGAGCACCGGAGCCGTGGTTTGGGATTTTTATAACGGTGGCCCTAAAGCATCCTGCTCCCAGGGGCCCAGCCGGATTTAGGTGTGCTGACATCCCTACCGACAGCTGCCCTCGGGCCGCAGGAGCCCGTGAGCAGCTTGGCTGTCTTCCATGTGCAATCCCGGCGGCCTCCCGGCAGCTCTGGGAGGGAAGAGAGAGCACCTGTCCGCAGCTCGGGCCCCACCTAACAAGGGACCACTGAGCAGACAACAGGAAGCTCTGCAGGAGAGCTTCACAAAATCTACCATTTTAGTTACTTCTAAGGCCACAGCTCAGCGGCAGGAAGTACATCCACGTTGTCACGCAGCCGTCACCCCGCCCACCCCAGAGCGCGTTTCGTCTTGCAACACTGAAGGAAACTGTGTCCCCACTAATCACTACCTCTCTATCCCTCCGTCCCCCAGCCCGACAGCCATCATCCTACTTTCTGTCTGTATGAATTTGACTCCTCTAGGGACCTCATGTAAGTGGAATCACAGAGTGTCTGTCCTTTCGTGTCGGGCTTATTTCATGTTTCCAAGGCTCTTCCGTGTTATAAGGTGTGTTAGAGTTCCCTTCCCTTTTTCAAGGTTGAATAATAGTCCGTCCTATACATTGAAAGCCAGCCGAAGGCAAGGGGATAAAGGAATGGGTAAATCAGGAGGAAAGTTGCAAATCCTGGCCATGACCTTGAGCTAATTCTTACAAAGCCCTTGGAACAGTACCTGGTACATAGCAAGTGCTCAGTAAATTCTAGCTAGAATGATTACTGCTATTATTGTTACTAATATTTTTTTGAAGCTGGTGATAATATAATATTAGCATAATTATAGTATTAATATGAGTTTCGGAAAGAGATCACGACCAAAAATTGTCACTCCCTGCTTGCCGTGTCAGCATGATTTTTCAGGATTTTTTTTTTTTCCCTCCCTCTCCTCCTCGTTCCCTTTATTAGCTACTAAGGGTGGTTAAATTCACCACCGAGGCCATAGATTCGAGAATGTCAACAAGGGTTGTGATGGAATGAGAGAAGGCCAGAGACCCTGGCTTCAGAGCCCTGTGGCTCCACTGGGTGGATCCGTGGTTGCAGACGTAGTCCCCGGTGGTGACTTCGGGTACGACTCCTGGGCAGGAGTGGGGACAGCCAGGGCTTTATCCGGGTCATCGCGTCTCATAAGGAAGGCATTCGTCAGTCCTGTACCTGGAAGGAGGGCGTGTGGGGGGAGAGCAGTGCGGAGGACGGGATGGACCAAACACCTGTTGCTTTTGCCTGCCCAGCACCCTTTCTTGGCCTTTTCTAGGAAGACCGTCCCCTTCCTGCGGGTGACTGCCTCTCGACCCCCTGTGGTTGTAGTGAGCCCACTAACCAACAAGCCTCACCTCCGTGCCTACCAGCCTGTTACAGCCCGAGTGTCTGTGTCCCCCCACATTCCCATATTGGAATCCTGCACCCCACGTGATGGTATTCAGAGGTGGGGCCTCGGGGAGGTGATGAGGCCATGAGGGCGGGGCCTTCAGAAACAGGATTAGTGCCATTTTATTTGCTTATTTATTTTTTAAAAGCACATATTTTATTTTTTTTTTAAGTTTATTTACTTTGGGGGGGGTGGGGAGAGCACACGGGAGGGGCAGAAAGAGAGGGAGAGAGAGAGAGAGAGAGAGAGAGAGAGAGAGAGAGAGAGAATCCCAAGTAGGGTCCGGGCTGTCAGCGTGGAGCCCGATGCAGGGCTCGAACTCACAAACCGTGAGATCGTGACCTGAGCCGAAACCCAGAGTCGGCGGCTTAACCGACTGAGCCACCCAGACGCGCCGGGATTAGTGCCCTTTTAAAAGAGACCCCGAGGCTCCCTGGCCCCTTCCACATGTGAGGACACAAGGAGAAGTCAGCAGGCTGCAGCCACGTAGCGGGTCCTCACCACAATCCCCCCCGTCTTGGCACCTTGACCCCAGACTTCCGGCCTCCACAACTGTGAGAGATGAATGCCTGTGGGTTCAAAGCCCTCCAGGCTGCGGTTACTTTGTTACGGCACCCCCCAAAAGGACTAAGACGCACCCCAAAACACGGGTGCGCCTGTGACCTCCACGAGGCCAACCCGATTCTCCCGAAGGATCACAAATCCTGACGGGACAAGAAAGGACGGTGACTGAGTTAAGGGACGGAACCAGCCTCCTGAGTCACGCCAAGCTCCTGACGCACTGCGGGCCGCCTGCTTCCGGACCTTTCCCGGGCCTGGCGGTTCTGCTGCACCTTTGAAGCTGGAACTGCCTCGGGGGGTGTTCCAGAAAATTCTTAAGTGAAATTTAGCCTGAATCAATCTCCAGCGCTTGTGTTCAAAAAACTTAATAAAACCACGGGTCCAGGCAGCCCAGTGTTTGGCAGTCAGCTCCCTAATTCTTCGGCTCCAGTGGTTGTGGCCAGGCCCCCGGGGGAGGGAGGGCCACCTGGAGGGTCTGACTTCCAGCGTCAGGCTGACAGACTGGTCGGCACTCCTGCCGCCTTCAATTAGGTTACAAAAGGGAGACACTGCTGGTTTGTCTAGTAACACAGCAATTCTCCAAGCCTTTGACGAGAGCAAAGGGGATATTTTTGAAATATTTCCCAATGCCCCCTTTATCTGTGTGACGTCCCCCTCCCCGGCCCCCTTCACTGTCAATCTCTCAGGGAATAAGAGAAAAGGACAAGAAGTCCTCAGGGCGGAGAGAAGCAGACGTGACCTTGGGGGAGTGCCTACAGAGAATGGAGGAGGGAGAAGCCTCCCAGGATTGGGAGGGAAACAGGCAGAGAGAGCAAAGAGTCAGGGGTTAGCTTCCCAGGATGGCCGGACTCAGGCAGAAGCAGAAGCTGCTGGAAAACTCCCTGCCCCCTGGGGGCAGGAGGCAGCCAGAGGGGCCAGAGAGGACTGGGGCAGGAGCAGGAGCCAGAGAAGAGCCTGTGGTGTTTTGGGGTCGAGGCCACCGGCCCCCGCTGCCCCCAGGCCTCCCCATCCAGTCCTGCCGCCACCCCCTCTGCAGCTCCCCCGGGGCCTGAGCAAGGCCTACGACGCAGCACGGGACCCGGGCCCAGGGCGTGGGGACCTCACAGAGACGTAGGAGTCTATTCCCCGGCCGTGTGGGCGCGATGCAGGTGCGGCTGGAACCAGAACACCTCAGAGCCCAGGTGCCCCGTCCCAGCCAGCAGAGATCCTCGAGGTGGTCTCCCACGGCCGCCGCCCAGCGGGACGGTGGGACACAGGCGGCCTCTGTGCAGGCCAGTCAGACCCCCGAGGGACACACAGGCACCCCCAGCCCCGTGCCTTCTCAGGGAGGAGGCACAAACTTTCGTAAGCAGCGTCTCCCGCGCGTGACAGGCTTTCTTGCGCGCCCCCCACCAGTGTCTCCTGGGACTCTTGCTTCACCAGGGCTGCTGTGGTAAACAGCACCCTAGTGCGGTGGCCGGCCTGGCCCCTGAGGCTCCCAGGACCGAGGAGAGGCCTGGGCATCTGGGTCTGTTGCCAGAGAAAGCAGCAGGGAGGCCAGGTGGCCGCTGCCCCGGTTGGCCAGCCCTACCTCAGGGACAGCGTCTGTTCAGAGTGCCCCCTCGTCCCACCCTGCTCAGAGGGCCCCAGGGGACACGGGCAGGGTGCCAGCAACCCAGAGCCTGCCAGCAACAGCCCCCGGTGTGGCTTCTGGAAGGCTGCGAGAGGACCTGGGTCCTGCGAGAGGACCTGGGGCTTCCGGCCACATCGCCACGAATGAACCACGCGGCCCCCGATGCCAGCCTGCCCACACATGGAGACACAGAGCTCAGCCCGTGACTGCCATAGAGGCCATGGCCACAGACACGGGGTCTAGAGCCGGTCTGCTGTTTCCTAGCTGTGTGACCCTTCTAAGGGCTCAGTTTCCTCATCTGCAAAGTGGGAGAGTCACGGCCACAATCCCGTATCTCCAAACCCCCGGGGCCAGCTGTGTTGCAGAGTCTCCCACTTTTTCTGGAGTTTTGTAAGTTTTTCAAGACCCTGGCCGCCCCGCCTAGCCACACGCTGCTAATATTTCTGCGGGAAAACGACGAATCCGCCAACGAGGTGGGACGCGTAAGAACCATCACCTTGCACCGGGTCGGGTCCCTCCACCACACGAGTGCGGAAAACACGCCTCAGTCTTCAGAGAACTCTGCATCTCACGGTTGCAGGGACGAGGCCTCAGACCTTGGGTGTCACCCACCTAGGAGCGTGGAAAAGGGATGTGACAGCACCCGAGGCAGCCACCGTTGACGCATTTGCTGCGTGCTCCGTCCACGCTGGGCGCCGCGTGACTTGCTCCTCACGACAGCTCTGTGCCACAAGAACTATTTTAATACCCATTTTTCACAGCTGGGGGATCGAGGCCCAGGACAGAGGAGGAACCCGCTCCCCGTGGTCGGCTGGACCGGGGTCCTGGTGTTCATAGCCACGCCCGTTGTGCCCGCTTCACAGCTAGGACAGAGGGGGCGGGGGGGGGGTGGCGCTCAGGCCTCTGCCCTCGATTCTACCGCCTGGCTCGGCTTCATTGCACATAGAGAAGACAGCAACAAGGAAGGGGAAAGTGCAAACTGCTTCTCAGCAAGCCCTGGTCGTCCCAGGAGAATTGCCTCAGTCGTTGGCATTTCTGTGCCTGTAGAACCCGGACCCAGTTTTTCCGATCGCTCAGAGTTGGCCGGCAGAGGCTCGGGCTTCCCCTTGGTCAGCAGAACCCGCCGGAGACCCTGCACTTCGTGCCGTCCTCCTGTAGCCCCCCGGCCAGACCAGAGGCCCCGCAGAGGTGAGGACGGAGCGGGGGAGGGGGGGATCTCCTCTCCCTGGGCACCCCAGCCCACGGTGAGACAGCAGCACCGCTCACCGCCCTGAAGGGCAATGTGCCCCAGCGATGGGCTGCAGGCACTTGGTTCAGGAAAAAGAGCTCCTAAAGAGCCAGGGCCACCAGGGTCCAAATCCCCGTCCCGCCAGATACCTGACCACCGGAAAGATCTGAAGTTCAGTGTCTTTCATGGTAAATCAGGGTAGGAATCTCTCCTTCTGGGCTGTTTGAAGGTTTCAACGACAACGGGATTAAGAGGGTGACGGGACTGACCAAGTTGCATCTCCCCTCCGCTGGCTGGGGACCCCACGGCCCTAGACGAGAGGTCCCGGCCCCCAGAGCCTAGGGGGCCTCACCGGCGACAGGCGTTTCCCTCGAGAGGATGTCATCCTTGGAGAAAAAAAAGACGCTGAGGGATGTGTCTCCAGTCTGCAAAGAGAACCTGCAGCGTTTGTTCCCTGGATTGTAGGTTTATTGCGGGGGGGGGGGGGGGGGGTGGGGGAGGCTCGGGGAAGGGGGGAGGGGAGATGGTGAGGAAGATTAAGGGGAGTATCTCAAAGCTGTGTGTTCAGAGTGAGCTGCCTTTTCCTTAGCCTGGGTGTCGGGGGGAGTTGGTTTGCAGGGAAGGGGCCACTGGAGAACAGGATGGAGCTAAAGGCTCCCCAGGCAGGCGAAGAAAGACCATCGGCGATACGATACAAGCTCGCAAATGGAAATAAGTTCTGGAACGTTCTTAGCAATCCGTTCCTCTCTCAATGTGACCGCCCTCTCACACCCATCAAGGGGATGTCCATAGGGGCAGGGGGTGGGATCTGATGGGACCAAAGAGCTCCCTGTGTCGCCTTCACCCTTCATCCCATAGGACTCACAGAAAATGGCGACAGGGCGCTGGCAGAGGGTGGGGCCCCAGACGGGAGTTTCTCAACCTCAGCCCCACTGACATCTCGGACTATGTCATTCCTAACTGTGGGCCTGGCCTGTGCATTGCAGGCTGTTTAGCGACCTCGCTGGCCTCCAGCCAGCCTCCCCCAGAGTTGTGACAGTTAAAACAATGTCTCCAGACATTGCCAACAACCCCTGGGGAGAAAACTCACCCTTGACTGAGATCCACGGCTCCAGGCTCGTACTGCAGGCCCAGCTGGGATCACACCGCCCTCTCCTATTTACCAAATGTATGGCATTGGTCTCTCTGTGCCTCAGTTTCCTCATGTGTAAAATCGGGATAATATTAGCCTCCATGTCACAGAATCACTGAGAGGTGTATCAAGTAGGGAAATGCAGGTCTGGCACAAATAAGCACGAAAATGTGCTTCATGTTCCAGGCCATGGTGCCCTGGAGACAAACTTCCAGAATCTAGCTTTGTAAGTCAGAGAGGAGAAAACATGTGTTTTATTTATTTTTAAAATTATTTTTTTAAAGTTTATTTCTTTATCTTGAGAGAGACAGCATAAGCCGGGGAGGGGAAGAGACAGAGAGGGGGAGAGGATCCCAAGCAGGCCCCAAGCTGTCAGGGCGATGCCTGACTCGAAGCTTGAAGCCGGGAGCCCTGAGACCATGACCTGAGTCAAACCCAAGAGTTGGACACTTCAGGGACTGAGCCACCCAGGCGCCCCAAGGAGAAACTCTTTATCTTTGATGCATTAACTCTACCTCCAGGACTATCCCAAAGAAATAACCAAATGGGTGGGCCAACATTTAGGTAAGGATCAAAAATTATTCATAAAGCAAAAAATTATTTATGAAAACAAAACCAAAGCTCAAACTGAAGACAACCCACAGATTCAACAGTAGGGGACTTATCAGATGCACAATGACACATCCGTCTGATGGAATGTCACACAGACTTTAAACAGCTTGTTGGAAATTATTTACTAATACAGGGAGCCACCGTAATGCAATGTCAAGTGACAAAAATTCACACAAAACTGTATGAACGTCATGAGTCTAAATTTTGGTTTGCTTATTTTCTTTTTTATTTGAGAGAGAGAGAGAGAGAGAGAGAGAGAGAGAGAGTGAGCAGGGAAGAGGAGCAGAGGGCCTGAGAGAGAGAGAGAATCTTAAGCAGGGTCGGTGCTCAGCACAGAGCCCAACTCGGGGCTCGATCCCACAACCCTGGGATCATGACCTGAGCCAAAATCAAGAGTTGGACACTCAGCAGACTGAGCCACCCAGGTGCCCCTTGTTTTACTTATAAAATAAAATGTCCAGGGGCGCCTGGGTGGCTCAGTCAGTTAAGCGTCTGACTTTGGCTCAGGTCATGATCTCACAGTTTGTGGGTTCGAGCCCCGCATTGGGCTCTGAGCTGACAGCTCAGGGCTTGGAGCCTGCTTCAGATTCTGTGTCTCCCTCTCTCTCTGCTCCTCCCCTGCTCATGCTCTGTCTGTCTCTCTCTCTCAAAGATGAATAAACATTAAAAAAAAATTTTTTTTTTAAATAAAATAAAATGTCCACAGTGGTCATTTCTGTGTGCTGAGAATACAGAAGAATTTTATTCTTTGTCCCTAAATTTTCTACAGTAAATCTGTACTTATTTAAATAATTAGGGGAAAAAGGATTATAAGAATTTTTGTGCCTTCAAACTATGTATGGGAGGACTTTTTTTCCCAAGTTCTTTCAGAAGCAGAGAGAAGGGAAGAGAGGGGCACCTGGGCGGCTCAGCCGGTTAAGCCTCTAACTCTTGGTTTCACCGTGGGTCATGATCTTGAGGTTTGGGAGTTCGAACCCCGCATCAGGCTCCGTGCTGACAGCGCAGAACCTGCTTGGGATTCTTCCTCTCTCCCTCTGTCTCTGCCCTTCCCCTGCTCGTGCTGTCTCTCTCAAAAGAAATAAATAAACTTTAAAAAAAAAAGAAAAAGAAAAAAGAAGGGGGAGAAAGATGACCATGAGAGAGAAGGCATATCTTGAAGATATCATTTCTGACATAGCTCTGGGGCCAAGTACCAAATACAGCGGGAGAGATGAAAGGACGTGTCCCTTTCCTAAGGCTGCCACAGACTGGGTGGCCTGAAACAACGGAAATGTATTGTAACCCTGGAGGCTGGACTCTGAAATCAAGGCGTCAGCAAGGCCAAGCTCCCCCTGTAGGCTCCCGGGGAGGAAACAACCCCTTGGTCACCTCCTGCAGCCTCTGGTGACTCGGGCAATCCTTGCCTGGCGACAGCTTGACTCCCATCTCTGCTTCTGTCACCACGCCACCTCTTCTTGTGTCCTCTCCTCTTCTCGGAAGGATGACAGTCATTGGATTTTGGCGCGGGGCGCCCACCCCGCCCCCATCTAGGATGAATTCGTCTCCAGATCCTTTAACTGATTACATCTGCAGAGACACAGCTGTCAAATGAGGTCATATCGGAGGTTCCGGATAGACATGAATTTGAGGGGCACAGCTCTTCAACCTGCTACAGGGGACAGTGTTGAAAAACAAATTAAGGTTATCACAGGCAGGTGTATGGCAAAAATGATCGCTATGGAAAGTATAAAAGGGCGTAGCGTGAAAAGCGAGCTTCCCGGGGCGCCTGGGTGGCTCAGTGGGTTGAGCGTCTGACTTCAGCTCAGGTCGTGATCTCACGGTTCCTGGGCTCGAGTCTGTGCTGACAGCACGGAGCCTGCTTCTGATTCTCTGTCTCCTTCTCTGCCCCTCCCTTGATCGTGGGCTCTCTCCCTCTCTCTCTCTCTAACATAAATAAGCATTCAAAACAACAAAAAAAAGCAAGCTTCCCTCTCTCATCCCTGACCTCCAATCCAATCAATGTTACTGGCTTCTTGTCTCTACAAACACACGTGTCTTTCTCCTACACAAGTTCAAGTGTAGTATACAGTGTTCCACACCCTGCCTTTGTATTTACCAGTGTATGCTGGAGATCCTTCCCTCTGTTCACATGGATTTGCCTCATTTGGTTTAATGACTACATACCGTTTCATCGGTAGATAAACCCTAGTTTACTCAGCTGATCCATTTGGGGTGGTTTTCGATTTTCCTTTTCCCTTTTCTTTCTTTCCTTTAATTTTTTATGTTACAAATAATATTCCGATGCTACCTATTTGTATCTGCATGCTATGCCCGGCTCTTTTCTTTTTTTTTAATAGACTTTTTTTTTTTTTTTTGCAGTTTTTTTTTTTTTTTTTTTTTTTATGGGAGGATTAGGTAAGTTGTTTTTCCAACGTTTATTTATTTTTGGGACAGAGAGAGACAGAGCATGAACGGGGGAGGGGCAGAGAGAGAGAGAGGGAGACACAGAATCGGAAACAGGCTCCAGGCTCCGAGCCATCAGCCCAGAGCCCGACGCGGGGCTCGAACTCACGGACCGCGAGATCGTGACCTGGCTGAAGTCGGACGCTTAACCGACTGCGCCACCCAGGCGCCCCTAGAGCAGTTTTAAATTCACAGCAAAATGGAGGGGAGCCTAAGGAGATTCCCCGTATGCCCCCTGGCTCCCCGCACACGCAGAGCCTCCCCCACTATCAACATCCCAGACCAGAGTGGTCCACTCCTTGCAGATGGTGAGCCTACGCTGACACATCGTTATCACCCAGAGTCCATAGTTGGCATCGGGGTTCACTCTTGGCGTACATTTTACGGGTTTGGGCAAATGGATAATGACACGTGTCTACCGCTATAGTATCTGACAGAATAGTCTCCCTGACCTAAAAATCCTCTGTGCTGCACCCATTCATGTCTCCCTCTCCCCAGCCCCTGGCAACCAGTGATCTTTTTACAGTCTCCAGAGTTACGCCTTTTTCCAGAATGTCAAGTCATATGGTGGGAATCACACAGAATGTAGCCTTTTCAGACTGGCTCCTTCTGCTTAGTAACATGCATTTAAGGCTCCCCTATGTCTTTTCATGGCTCGATAGCTCATTTCTTTTAGTGCTGAATAATACGCCTTTATCTGACGGGACCACACTTCGTTTATTCACTACCGAAGGGCATCTTGGTGGTCTCCAAGCTTTGGCAATTATGAATGAAGTTGCTATAAATATCCGTGTGCATGTCTTTGTGTGGACCTAAGTCTTCAACTCCTCTGGGGAAATATCCAGGAGCGTGATTGCTGGATCGTACGATCAGAGTATGTTGAGCTTTGTGAGAATTTCCCAGAGGTCTTTCAAAGCGTCTTGGCATTCCCGTGGGCAATCAGCGATGGTTGATATGGTGGTTGGCATGAACCGCCGAACTTAATCAGAGCCCCCCAGCTTTACCCCCACTCGTTTGTGTGCGTATTTAGTTCTATGCAATTTTTTTCACACGTGTGGATTTGTGTGGTCAACACCACAAGTGAGATACAGAACACGTCTGTGACATGGATCCCTTGTGCCCCACCCCCCCCGCCCCTTTATAGATACAGCCACCTCCTGGGCCTGCTCTGACTGTCCATTTTAACTTTTTCTGGCTCGCTATGTTTCAGACAGATCTCTTGTAAACAGTGTATATAGCTGGGCTTTGCTTTCTAAGCCAATATAAGGGTGTTCTCATCTTGAGCGAGGGTTTTTATCCTTCATCATTTTAATCACGAAAAATGACTGCTCCTCACTGTTTATTGGGGTTGGCATTGCCCTAGCTGTTTCACAGATAACGAAAAGGAAACAGAGCAGTGAGTTAATTTTCTTGAAATCACAGAACTGGTAAGTGACAGAGGGGGACTTCCCACCCACTCTGCCCTACTGTCTCTATACTAACTATAGGTGAGTTTCCTCTTCTGGAAGGTTAAAACCATGTCTCTTCCCAGCCGGACGCCCTGCCCTTCTGAGTATGGAGAAGAGCAGAGACACCGCTTGGACCTTCACCACAATGGAGGCCCCTCACATCTGCCAAGGTCAGCTTTTCTCCATCCCAGCCATTTTCCTTAGAGGGGAGAACAGAATCCAGTGATGTCTTTGTAAGAGAAAGACGAAAAACGGAGTGATCCAGAACATTGAAAAGCACAAGGATACACAAAGACGTGGCTCCCAAAATGCCAAAGTCCTTGTTCTCCTTGTGCTTCACCCGCTGCTGCTTCTCCTTTTCTTGCTGTTTTCTTGTCTTCTTCCCGGGTCTAACTGATGGGGTACTCTGGGGTTCGGCCTGGGACCATCCCTGGCCTCTGCTGGTACTCTCTCCCTAAAGCTCTTATGCCACTTCATGGCTTCGAGCGCTTTCTACACAGATGGTTCCCACATTCCATCCCCCAGCCGGAACAGGAATCATATATCCACTGCCTACTCAAGCATCGCTTGGATGTCTCACGGGCACCTCAGACTTAACCCACCCCCAAAGTGAGTCTGAAACGTTCACTGCAACAGTCCTTCGGGCCCCAGACCTGACTCACCCTGAAGTCATCCGGGACTCTGTTCTCCCACATCCCACATCCCCTGATGAATCCTGTGGCTTCTTACAAATATAATCCTTGCCATCACCTCTATCAGCCTGGTCCCCTGCAGCTGTCCCCTCTCACTCTGACTATTGCAACAGCTTCTAACTGGCCTCCTTGCTTCCTCTTTTGCAAGTCTAGAGTCTATTTTGCAGCCTGAGTGATCATTTTTAACCTATAAGTGAGATGAGGACCACTACTGGCTCATACAGTGTCCTGGGGCTTATGAGAAAAAGCTCACCCACTTAACAAGTGTAGATATAGCTCTGAGGACGCCTGGCTCCACAAATGGAGAGAAACTTCATGCAATCAAGCAAGCAAGCAAGCAAGCAAGCAAGCAATCAAAGTGCTCCTTTCTCCCGATAGACACAGCACCTCCCCCCATCCCTGGCCCCCAAGGGCTCACACCTTGGCAAGTCGATTCTGGGGTGGATTTTAGATCCCAGCTGTATGCTCAGGCAGGACCTTTTACAGTTCTCATAATACTAATATAATATCAATATGTCCGTTGGAATCTAACTTGTAAAAAGGGCCTTATAAATTGTTCTCTTGTGAAATGATCTTTTCATCGTTATAATCAATTCGGTCACAACAGCCAATGGCTGGAAACAATCCAAACATACCAATCAGTGGAAGAACAGATCAATAAATTGCAGTGTATTTATACAATGAAATACTCCATAGCAATCATTTAAAAAAATTTTTTATGTTTATTTTTGGGAGAGAGAGAGAGAGAGAGAGAGAGAGGATGCGAGTAGAGGAAGGGGAGAGAGAGAGGGAGGCACAGAATCTGAAGCAGGCTCCAGGCTCTGAGTTGTCAGCACACTGCCGGATGCAGGGCTTGAACTCACAAACCGTGAGATCGTGACCTGAGTCGAAGTCAGACGCTTAGCCGACTGAGCCACCCAGGTGCCCCACAGCCATCATTTTTAAAATCAGTGATACCCACCACATGAGCGCATTTCATACACATCATATTGAGTGAAGGAAGCTAAAGAAGTTAGTCCATTCATGTGAAACTCAAGAGTAGGCAAACTGACCCATGGTTATAGAAGTCAGAAACCACTGTCCTGTATCTTGATCTGGGTGGTGATTCCTCGGGAGCGTATATAAGTGAACGTTTACTGAGCTGAGGACTTTACTTTGTCTACTTCCTGTATATAAGCTGCCCCTCGATATAAAATGTACAAACAGTAGTTTGCAAATATTTAGTACGTTGTGAGTTTTTCATTATTTCGATTTTATGTAGTCTAAAATCCCTCCACAAACCTTGAACTTCACGAGGATCAGGGCACCGGCAGTAACCTTGCTTTCCATGTGCCCAACCAGAAGGCTGTCCGACTGGTGAGGACACCTCTCATTCTCCCATGGGCAGAACGAACACGGCTTTGGTGGCCCAGGAGCTGGTGGATGACCAGGCGGGGAAAGGCTTCGAGGCTGGCATTGGTTTGCAGAGGTAACCGGGAGAGCTTTGTCCCCGGGGAAGGCTGCTTCTGCCGAAACGCCCTGGGCATCCTCTTGATACGTGACGAGGAGAAAAAAGGGACTATGCTAAATATTTTGGACAGAAGGAGCGAGATCCCGTCAGGTGCATGACCCCGGGCGATAGGCCTCAAAGGGCAGAAACGGCCCCCCTCGCAGAGGGCAGGCTCGTGAAGGCTCACACATCACCAAAAAAGCCCCTTCGTGGCCCTGCATTGATGAACTCGGGCCCAGTTATCCGTTCATCGGCAGAAGCCCCCAGCAGCTTGCAGCCCAAGGTAGAAAATCAGCATATGTCCGCTGAGTGAGTTAGGGCATCTACACTGTGTGGTGCCTCCTCCAGCGGGACCGCAAGTCTACACCCGTCAGTGGGCACCGCCGTCTCGTGACTTTGTAGTGAGCACAGAGTGGGGGTGTCAACTCTGCCCCTGCTCGCCCTTTCTCCTCTTTGTCTCTATTCCCTTGAGGAAACACAGCGAGCAGGCAGGGCTGCGTTGTGGGATCCGTAAAGCTTAAGGTTCCTTGGCAGTGCCCGCCTCCTTGCCTGCATCACCCTCCGCCCCACAACCTTCTGCTCCGTGACCTGATTTATGGCTGCTGGTTAACTGATCACTGGGCCTCAATTTTCTAGTTTATTAGCGCTAAGGGGTTTCCTTGGGAGTCTATTTAGTTTTTAACCTTTCCCATTAAGAAATTGGTGCGTGTGTGTGTGTGTGTGTGTGTGTGTGTGTGTGAAGAGAGAGAGATTCAACAGTGTAAGCATATATACTTCCGTGAGGAGTTCCTGACATCAGCTGACAGAGGAGAAAGAAACAATGGGCAGGATAGAAGGTTCTCGGAGCTCCGCCCCCACCTCATGCGCTCCTCAGGGCAAGTCCCCCTTCCCTCTCTGGGCTTCTGTTGCCTCTGCCGAAAAGTAAAGGAGGCAGCTTGGGTCTTGGCTGGGGTCCCTTCCAGGTCTGATTGCCTCCTCTGGGCCGGGGAACCTGTGTCGTCACCAGGCCTCCTACGCCCTCCCTGGTGGAGCGATGGCTCTTGGAGTCCGTTTGCTCTTGCCCGATACCGCTCTCCCGTAAGGTCAGACTCCGCTGGGGTGATACTTTGTACCGTGAGATACTGGGGAGGAGAAGCTTGGGTCCCTTTGTCCCTGACGTCTTCCACGAAGGACCAATCCCGTCTGTTTGAGTGGCCAAGTGAAGCTGGCCACGTGCTGAGGAGAACCTCCAGAACGTTGGTGATAACTCACCTCAGTCCTCTTGGTGTCCAACTCCTGGTGGAAGCAAAGGTCACCACAGCAGCCAAACTCAAGGTCACGGACGTGTAGGCTGCGTTGTACAATATGGCGCCTCCTTCCTCTGACTCGCCTCTGCGTATACAGGACCCTCAACCTGGTCTTCTCTTTCTCCTGCGTTTCCCACCCCGGTCCCTCTGTTAGTCCCATGTTGCTCATCTTGACTTGACTCAGATCTTACCATTCCCCCACTGCCCTTTCCTGGGTGACAGTGTCTCTGAACAAGGCTGAAAATGTCCCTCAGGACATTTGTCCCTCCAGAAGCCCCTCTTACGTGTTTCTTCTCTTTACGGAAGGAGCAGCTCCCAACAGCGTTCTGGGACTCTCCACAGTTGGGTCAGAGGTAACAGAGGTGTCAGGAAGGACTCAGAGTCAGGAGTGGCGAGAGCATCCAGAAACCGCAATGGGCCTAAGAGTGTGACTTTGCCGCCTGGGAGACTGAAGCCAAATCTTTATTTCACTCATCCACAGGGACCAGGACAACATTTTTGGAAGAGTTCCCCGTCGTGAAGGAGGAGCTGGAAGCAGGCATCAGAAAGCTCCACGCCCTTGCAGACCACATCGACACAACCCACAGAACACTCACCAAAACCAACATGGCGGCCAACTCCATGGCGGTGGTCTCAGGAGCCATGAGCATCCTGGCTCTAGTCCTTGCTCCGGCAACAGCAGGAGGAAGTCTGATGTTCTCCGCTGCTGGTAAAGGTCTGGGGACAGCAGCTGGGGTCACCGGCATCTTGATCAACATTTTGGGACACTTGCGAAATCAAGAAGCCCGAGCTCAGGCCAGCAGCCTAGTGCCCACCCGTGGCCACGAGGTCGGGGAGCCCGGGGGGCAGAAGGCGTCTTACCTCATGGCTGTTGGAAAGATGGCTTATGACTATGGAAGTGCCATCAAGGATATTAAGAAGGACATCCGCGCCCTTCAGATAGCTAGAGCCCACCCACGTCTGGCCACTGCTGCTAAGCGTCTCCTGACCACTGGCCGAGTCTCGGCCCGAAGGAGCAGGCAGGTGCAAAGGGCCTTTAAAGGCACGACGCTGCTGATGACGACAAACATTCGCTTGCTGGGGAGTGCGATGGCGGGCTTATCCCTCGGCCAGGACTTGACCGCCCTCCTGAAGGACTGGAAGCGACTGAAGGAAGGACCAAGGACGAAGTCTGCGGAAGAGCTGAGGGCCCAGACCTGGGAGCTGGAAAGGACGCTGACAGAACTCACCCAGCTCTATGAGAGCCTGAAGCGGAGGGTGAGGCTGACATCTCCCTCTTGGGTGGAGCTGGGGGAGGGAGGCGGGAAGTTTGAACTGGGACTTATGGGCACCAAGGCTTATGGGAAAGGTGTTGAAGGAGCCGGGGCGCGCGCGCGTGCGCGTGTGTGTGTGTATGTGTGTGTGTAGTTTGCTTGGATGTTCCTGAGGACGTGGGGCAGACGGTGGCCCCGAAGGTCCAAATGACGTCGGGGGCATCTTGATGATAATGGCGCCTGTCCTGGACAGCCCTGGTCATGCCTTCTATTTCTTTCTCAGTGCTCTAAGAGGGTCTTCCCGGTTGAACAGAAGAGGGCACTGAGCCACACGGAGTGTTGTGGATTGGCATGTGTCCCCTGAACTTTCGTGATTGAAGTCCCAATGCGACTCGGTAGAGGTCCCAAAGAGGGCCTTTGGGAAGTGATTGGGGCTGATTCAGGTCTCAGGAAGGGGTGGTGATTCTATACGACTGTGTCCTAAGCCGAGGAAGGAACACAAGAGGGCTCTCTCTCTCTGCCTGCGCCCGCACAGAGGAAAGGCTGTGGGAGCGATCAGCAAGCCCGGAGGGACATCTCACCAGGAACCCAATGGGCCGGAGCCTCCAGAAAAAGGAGAAAATACATTCCTGTTATCCAAGGCACCGGCCTGTGGTGTTCTGCTAGGACAGCCCCAGCTGGCTAAGACGGGGAGCTTCTGAGGTTCGCCAAGTTCTCAGCTGGGTGGTGACAGAGTCAGGATACACAGCCAGGAAGCCTGACCGCAGAAGCCCCCGGAGCTGCCCGCCAGGCTGAGCCGGAGCCCTCTGTTTTTCCTTTCTTTACAGAAACTCTTCCAAGAGGAAAGACCCAGGAGCTCATCTTCGGGAGGAGCCACGGGGGTCTCTGCCCCAGCCCCCAGCCAGGCGTGGGGAAGCAGGACCCCAGGGGACACAAGAGGACGAGGGCAGGCTGAGCCGCCGGGCCTCTGAGCAGAATTAAAAGGGGCAGGGCGGAGGCGGGCTGGTTGGCAGAAGGGATGCCTGGAAACTGAGCAACCGGGAGGTCCACCTGGGTCCCGAGGGCGCTGTCGCCTGGTGAGGGTGGCCAGGGCCATCTGTCCTGCCTCTCTCCTTTGCCACCCGGCTTCTTCATTGTCCCCCACTCTTCCCTGGGGAGCCACCTCATTCCCACTGCTTTGTCAGCACCCCGTTCGCTCATGTGCACACAGGCTCTCTGCTAAGCGGGGACCATGAGACAAGGAAGGTCCCTCAGGTGAAGGTCACCTTGGGCTCACCTTGCGCTCACCGGCCGCCTTGCTCTGCTCTCTACCTGCCCCTGCCCTGCAGTAAAACCCTGGGTTTGCACACACAGGGATGTCACCGCAACCTGCCCGACCAGATTCCATCAGGAGCCCTCCCTTTCTCCCCAAGTGCTCTGCGCAACTTAGGACCTCTCCAGGCTTCCCCATTCACCTGTCTTTTCTTCTTTTCTTCTTTTTTATGTTTTAGCTGCTATTTTGAAAGCAGTGCATGGACATGAGGGACAACTTTTTTTAAAGTTCAGGAAAGTAAAAACCAGGCGTTGGAAACAATGCATCAACCAAGGGTGACCACTGTTGGCAGCCGGGTGTGGAATTTCCTTCCCGTGGTTACTTGCTTTGGGTGTTAAAGTGTAGCGGTCATTAGACTGCGTGCGGGCGGGGGGCGGGGCTTCCTCCAGGCTGCCTTTACAGGTTTTTTTTTCTGCAAACCAATGAGTGGTCTTGCTCTCATTCTCAATTCCTTCATTTGCCTACAGACCTAGCACTTTGCATTTTGCTGTTTTCACTTAACGACATTTTCCTGCCCTTCTATATTTCACTTGGTTTTTATAGACTTTTTTCGTGTGTTGCACAATATTCTCTTGGTTGTATGTAGTCTTTTTTTTTTTTTAATTTTTTTAACGTTTATTTATTTCTGAGACAGAGAGAGACAGAGCATGAGTGGGGGAGGGGCAGAGAGAGAGGGAGACACAGAATCAGAAGCATGCTCCAGGCTCTGAGCTGTCAACACAGAGCCCCACGCGGGGCTCGAACTCACGGACCGTGAGATCATGACCTGAGCCGAAGCCGGAGGCTTAACCGACAAAGCCACCCAGGCGCCCCATATGCAGTCTTTTAAATTAGACACGTTAGTCATCACTTTCTGTTTCAAGTGGCCAAAACCAATGCAAACTGGCCTACCCAAAAAAGGGGAGTTTATTGACTCATGTACTTAAAAAGCTTAGGGGTGCAGTGGACTTCGGGTGTGTCTGGATCCAAAGGGTAAATAAAAATGATGTCATCAGGTTCCCATTTCTTTTTTTTTTTTTTTTAATATGAAATTTATTGTCACATTGGTTTCCATACAACACCCAGGGCTCCTCCCAACAGGTGCCCTCCTCAACGCCCATCATCAGGCTCCCGTTTGTTAGCCAGGCTTCCACCAGGTTGAGGGAAGAGGGCCCACCCCTCCCGGCACCCCCAAACCCCCCAGTGGCCCCCTTCCTTCCAGTTGGGGGCGTCCAAGGGGAAAGGGGCGGAGCAAAGGTGCAGGGACCACTCTGATTGGTCAGGACTGGCTCCCGTGCCTTTGCCCCGGCTGGTTACTGGTAAGAGTTTATGGTAAAACAGTACGGTTACTGAAAAGAGCCGGAAGAAGGAAAGCAGCAAGGGGTCCGGTAGCTGCCCTCCTCTTTCAGGGACATTTGGACCAATGGCGATTTTTAAAACGTATACATAGTGGTAAAGTGAACATCTGTGTGCCAAAAACTTGTTGCGTTGTTGTTGAGATTTTTTTTTTCTCGAAATTGTGTCCCTGAATGGGGGTAAAAAGAAGGACAGTATGAAGGGAAAGGAGGAGACGCCCCCCCCCCCCCCCAGCTCCCCATCACGGTAGGGAAATAGATCATGGGAAGTTGAGGAAAGACTTAAAAGAGTGGAGGGGAAAGAGCCCCCGCCGCCATTTCAGACCACAGCCTGCCCGTCGTCTGGTTGTCTACACCTCTCACCGTCCAAGCGGCGAAACGGTTGCCATCACATGCCTGGGCCACTGTGCTACCTGCTTTTGTTGTTCTCGTGTCCTTGTTTTAAGTTCTTGGTGAGCATAGCGATGACCTGCTCTGTGAATGAGCCCCTGAGGGAAAACCATCTCATCCTTGAGATATCAGTCAGTGCTCCTTTCTCTCTTTTTTAAACATTTTCTTTCTTTCTTTTTTTAATTTTAGAGAGAGGGCACCAGTGGGGGGGGGCGGGGGGGGGAGCCGAGAGCTGAAGGGGCAGAGGGCAAGGGAGAGAGAATCTTAAGCAGGCTCTGTGCTCGGCACAAAGCCAGACCTGGGGCTCCATCCACAACCCTGGGATCATGACCTGAGCCGAAATCAAGAGTCAGACACTCAGCCAACTGAGCCGGGCCACCCAGGTGCCTCCCTGCATTCCTCTCTGATAAAACTTGTGATTCCTGCCTGAATGCAAATCCATAATCTTTTGAGCTTTTACAAGACATAAGAAAGTATAGAACCCTGTAAAAACTGTTCATTCTCCGGAGCACTTTCTTCCCTGTGACGAGCGTGTTTCCCCGGCAGCTGTCCTCACTTGGGCTCGAATAAAACTCTTTCTTACTTCTAGAGATTCCACAAAGGTTGCTCATTGTGCGTCAACAATCAGTAAATAGACAGCTTTCTCCACATTTCATACTGTTGGCTTAGTGTATGTGTCCTTAAAGTTCCAAATAAACGCTATCAGTAATGATACCAGGCACAGAATAGGTAGTCACTAAGCCTGGGGTTTTGTTTCTTCCGTGGAATGTCTGGAAGAAAACGTGAAAGAGTGAGTTAGCATGGAGGTCGGAGACCCACCTCCGACACTTACCCGCCGGGTTCCATTCCTGGATCTGGGTGCCTCAGCCACGACCCACGTGTAACCCAAATGAAATCCAGGGCTCCATTTGGGCGTGGATTTGTGGTCTCGGAGAAAATGTCCTTGACAGAAAGTCCAGTCCTTATGAAGGCTGTTGAGCCAACACTGGGAGGTGGGAGGTGGAGGGTGGGGGGCGGAGAGGCCGTCCTTCCCTCCTCATCCACCCCTCAGCCTCAGCCTCTCCTCCCAGAGGGTAGGGGCTCCCAGACAGACTCTTCGCTGCACCTGTCTCTGCACCCCACTCCCTGACTTGGAGCCCCAGCGACCCTTCTCTCTCCTCCGGCAGTGCCTTCCATCCTGGGCTCTCTCCGCATCACCGTCTGTTTCTCTGATGTCTAGTCTTACACCACCCGGAATCCTGGAGAAGGGGTGCCTTCACCTCATTGTGTCTCCCCGTTAGTTAAGGCTTTGTGCTCCTGGCCAAGAGATGCCCTTTAACCATCTGTGTCCCTCAGGGCAACCCCACCCCACCACTGGCCTCGCTCTCCCGGCTTGAGTGGGGTTCTCATGGGTGCCCCATGCCTGACTCCACCACGGCCAGTCAGGAATTCTGAGAAGCCTATCGGTTCTGAGATGTAACCTCTCTTTTAGTAAGCGAGGGAGTCGCACATGTTGGCGTCCTCCCATGAGTGTGGAGAAGCAGCTGTCAGGTGCCCTGGGATGCCACAATCTAACACACACAAGTTCCAGGCTTTTCCAAAGCGTTGGGCCTTCCAGAGGGGCCAGTGAATTTGTCCTGCCCAGGCTGAGGTCTGTGACAGCAGCAAACACGTGGTCAACAGTCCTGCTGGTGACCTGCTCCCTCCCCCCTCCTAGAAGGAAATTAGGAATCTCAGTCATTCAGCTAAACCCCAAGTCAGCTGGGGAAGGGGGAGGGGCCTCAATTAGGTCCCAATTAGGATGAGAAACCTCACTCATCCAGACCCATCAGCACCTGACTACCTGTGGGTGGCCTCAAGGGGCCTTCATGTGTCACCCCAGCTCACCCAGGTCCATCTTCACCTATGAACTTCAGGCGGCCCTTGAACTTGTGAAAAAAATGCAAAATATTGTCATCTATAAATCACAGTCCCGTGGGTCTAAAATCTCACTTTTTTTTTTTCAACGTTTTTTATTTATTTTGGGGACAGAGAGAGACAGAGCATGAACGGGGTAGGGGCAGAGAGAGAGGGAGACACAGAATCGGAAACAGGCTCCAGGCTCTGAGCCATCAGCCCAGAGCCCGACGCGGGGCTCGAACTCACGAACCGTGAGATCGTGACCTGGCTGAAGCCGGACACTCAACCGACTGCGCCACCCAGGCGCCCCTAAAATCTCACTTTTAACTGCAAGCAAACCAAATGGCCATGTGTTCTAGTCCAGGCACATGTTACCCTCAAAGAAATAGCTGTCTGGGGGAAAGTATGTCAGAAACAACTTGAACCTATTCCTGGTCCCTTGAGAAAATGAAAAAGGCGTGTGTTTGTGGGAGAGAGGGGGGAAGGGAGAGATAGCCTGAATTCATTGGTATAATTCACCTAGACAAAATCACAGTGGAAAACTAGCCTTCCTTTCTTTGATAGGCAAGATCATGTAGACCAGCCCTGTTCAATATGGTAGCCCCACTGGTCACGTGGCCACTCAGCACATAAGATGTGGATTTCACACCCACTGGATTTCAAAGGCATAGTGTAAAATATATATATATATATATATATATATATATATATATATAATATCCAATTAATAATTTTAAGTGATCACATGTTGAAATGGTAACATTTTGGGAAGATTACATTAAATTAAATGTATTCTTGAAATCAGTTTCACCCGATTTTTTAAATGTGACTGCAGAAAATTTACAGCTACATAGGTGCGGCTTGCACGATGGTTCTACTGGATGGCGCTGATGTAGACGGTGAAATAAAAAAGACGAACATAATTTGAATGGCGAGTTGGGATGTGTGGGGGCTAAGAAACAGCACCACTCTTCTCCCTCCCAAGTTTAGAGCCAATGAGGAAGGAGACTTGGTTCGGGCAGGTGGAGACGAAAGCATCGTCTTGATTAAAGGTGTTGGAGGAAACGGCTTTGGAGGAAATGGGTTGGATGCCCCATACGGCTTGCTGCCACTCCACTCCTCAATTAGATGGTCTCACCCCCTTTCCATGCATGGTACTGGACAACCTCGGGCCAGCCCTGTAAGCTTAGGAAGGCCAGTGGACCTCAACTCCATGGCATTTCCTTCCAGCCAACTTGCCCACCATATAACTTGCTCATCTTTCCTTGTAGTTGGAAAGCAAGATGGAGGAATTACTCGGATGGAATTCCTCTGTACGGAAACGGAATCAGTGTTCCTTCTGCACTTCCTAATCTTCTTTTAAATAAGCATCGGATTTATCTGTCAAGTCCACGGTCAGCAGGTGGCAATCAACCATGCAGCAGAAGGGCCCTGCTCTCAGCATCACCCTTCTGTCCCCTCTATACCAACCACTTCTGTCTGAATCATCCCGGGTCAGCTTTGGGCAGTATAAAGTTTGCTGCCGAGAGGTTTTGAAATGGGTCAGATCAGGGACGTCTGGGTGGCTTAGTCGGTTAAGTGGCCGACTTTAGCCCAGGTCATGACCTCACGGTCCATGAGTTCGAGCCCCGCGTCGGGCTCTGTGCTGACCACTCGGAGCCTGGAGCCTGCTTCGGATTCTGTGTCTCCCTCTCTCTCTCTCTCTCTGCCCCTCCCCTGCTTGCACTCTGTCTCTGTCTCAAAAATAAAAATAAGCACTAAAAAAGTTTTTAAAAGAAATGGGTCAGATCAAAACAGTAGTAAATGAACTCTAAGGTCTCACTATGACCAGAATTTCTCCCATTCCGCATCCCAAATGATATCCATGTCCAGCATAGCTCTTCAGAGATTTTGCAGTGAGGTCAGGATTTAGCAGAAAGATAGCCCAACGGTAAATAGCTAGCAGCGAGAACCCCCACATTGCTTCTAAGCCCCTTTCCATTGCAAATTTCCAGG